GAAGGTCCTAGCAACCTGCATCTTTAACATGTGACCCAGACCACTCATTAATAAAGCAATTTGGAAATATTGCTTTATAGACATTTATTTTTCGCTAGGCATACACCAAACTCACTTGAGAAAGTTTTTGAATATATATTTATTAGGTCCTTCCCAAATTTATGAATCAGAAGGAGTTGTGGTTTCTCTATAACTATAGGATTGGCCAAAAAATTCACTTGGGTTTTCCTGTAACACCTTAGGGAAAAATCCAAATTAACCTTTTGGCCAACCTAATATTTCTTACACTAACTCTCAGTTAAGAACCATTGTTTTAGACCAAACTTTCTTATTCTTCATAAGTTGCTATTCAGTTATATACCAAGTCAGTAGTCCCCAACCTTTTTGGCACCAGGGACTGGTTTCATGGAAGACAGTTTTCCATGGACCAGGGGTGGGGAGATGGAAGCGGGGATGGTTTCAAGCCCATTACATTTATTGTGCCCTTTATTTCTATTGGGCTTCCCTGGCGGCTCAGATGGTCAAGAATCTGCCTGCAATGCAGGAGACGGGTTCAGTCCTTGGGTGGGGAAGATCCCTTGGAGAAAGGGATGGCAACCCACTCTAGTATTCTTGCCTGGACAGAGGACAGGACAGAGGAGCCTGGCGGGCTACAATCGACAGAGTCACAAAGAGTCAGACACAACTGTGTGACTAATACACTTTATTTCTATTGTTATTCCATTATCTCCACCTCAGATCATCAAGCGTTAAATCCCAGAGGCTGGGGACCCTTGCACCAAGGTATGCCTACATAGATCTTTTCTTTCTTGAGCCTGTTCCTTGCCATTTTCAGGTTCTCTTTGATAATTTTTTTTTCATAGCAAATGAGAAGAGTGCTCCTAACCATGCTTTGTTTCATGGCAGAATTGTTAACAGGAAAAGGAAAGGCCTTGGCTATGGTGTGTTACCAGCTAGCAGATAAAATATTTGAGAATAATGAAAAGCTGATTTCTTAAGTATGAGGCATTTTTATAGCTCATATGCTTTTAAATGTATACAGTTGGCATGAACAGGGTGGCCAATTTTTAAAAAGAGCAACTGATTTCAGTAGATTCCCTTGTGTAAAATGCTGTTTGTGTGGTCTGTTTTCCAGATGTTTCCATGGCAAATGCTTTCGTAATGTGAAACCTAACTATTAAAAGCACCTGGTAATGTGTAGCTCATCCAGACACAAATCATCATTTCTTTTTTTGTTCAGACTTATAGGGAGGAAACTTTACTTTGAACACAAGTGAGGATGAGACTATTTCATATTCATATGGAAATATAAAGTGACAAAAATGTTTATTTTAACATCAATCTTAATAAATAGCTTTATTCATGTCTGCAAACAACATAAGAGTATATGCATTTTCTACAGGGTCTGCATAGCTGGTTGGCAGCTGTATTTGGAGCATTTATTTTAATGTAAATTTTTCTATATGAATTCTGACTAAGAACACAGGGGTAAAGACAATATAGTGCAGTAGTCAACCACTGAGGTTTTTGAACCAGGCAGTCTGGGTTTGAATCCTTCTCCACACTTATCAGCTATATAAATCTAGGCATTTTACTTCACCTTTGTTATAATAATAATTCCTTTATTATCCTTATCTGTAAAATAAGGATTATAACAGTACTTACCTTGAAAGGCTGTTATGAAGATTGACTGTGTTTACACATATAAACACTTGTGAGGGAAAAAATTTTTTTTTCCCTCTTTTTTTCTAGATACTTTTTTTTGTTCATTTATTTTGATTAGTTGGAGGCTAATTAATTTACAATATTGTAGTGGTTTTTGCCATACATTGACATGAATCATCTGAGACATCCTTGTCATTTTAAAAGACAGATTAATAGGAGAAAAGCAAACAAAAGTTTAATCGCATGTATACCTTCTGTATAGGCTTTCCAGGTTGTGAGTGGTCAAGAACCCGCCTGCAAGTGCAGGAGATGCGAGAGATGCAGTTTCGCTCCCTGGGTTGGGAAGACTCCCCCGGAGGAGGACATGGCAGCAGACTCCAGTATTCTTGCCTGGAGAATTTCATGGACAGAGAAACCTGGTGGGCTACAGTCCATGAGGTCGCAAAGAGTCGAACCTTTGTGTCTGAATGACTGAACACACCCCCACACGCATACCTCGTGTAGGATAGAGAACCAGGAACTGAGCAGCTTCCTCAAGTGGTCCAGGCTGCTGCTGTAAATAACGTGCATGCATGCTAAGTCACTTCAGTCGTGTCTCACTCTGTGTGACCCTGTAGCTGTACCCTCCAGGCCTCCTTGGTCCGTGTGATTCTCTGGCCAAGAAGACTGGAGTGGGTTGCTATGCCCTCCTCCAGGGGGTCGTCCCAACCCAGGGATCAAACCCATGTCTCTTATGTCTCCTGAATTGGCAGGAAGGTTCTTTACACTAGCACCATCTAGAAAGCCCTAATTTTTGCTTTTTTTTTTTTTTTTTAAATAATGCCTCTAGCTAAAGACAAAAGAAGGTGTTGACTAGGGAGAGGCCAGTTTTGGAAGATTACCAGGAAGAGCCCTATAAGCAAGAGTGAGGCTGTGCAGATTTAAGTCATTTCCTTCTCCATTGATAAGAGTTTCTAGAGATTTTTGTCATCCTTTTCTTGGTACAAAGAGGGAAGCAACTTTAAGAATGGAAATTTCCCTTATAAATGCAAATGTCTTTCACAAAACTATAATTTGTACTTAATTTTCAAGAGCTTTTTCTATGTTTGATGTTCTTAAAAATAATCAGCCTAAAATAATCCTTATGCCGAAAAGGCATGTTAGAAGGTGACAAATATCTACTCCCTTTCACACATAAGACACTTTTTGTCCCATAGTAAATGCTCAATGATGATTAGGATCAATAAAATAGATGTCAAAATTGACTGTTTTTTTTTTAAATTAAAGAAAGCTCCAGTGACCTTGAGCTTCACATTTTTGCTTTGTAAGAAGACAAAAAAATTGGTGCACAAATGTTTCTTGGACAAAATATCAGCTAGGAAATGGAATGATAAATCATAAATTTCCATTTTTCTTAAATGTGCTACTTCATTCATTAATGGAAGTTCTCATCTCTTTAATTTAATGTAACTTATTAGAGGAAAAATAGCTAATATTTGTTGTATAGTTCTATCACAAAAGTCATCAGAGTAATTGGACAGTAGCAATTCCATTGCTCCAAGAAGATACAAGAGATACAATAAAGAAACACATGGGGAAAACTTGTGGATAGAGAAACAGAGAGAAGGGAAAATGAATTAAAGAAGTAGTAAAAATTTGCAGAGTTGTTGGCAGAGAAAGTAGTATGTAAACATTTAGGTCATACTTTGAACCAGCTATACACAGGGCCATAGATATTTCTTTAAAAAATATAATAGGGACTTTCTCTCAATTATCAGCTAGTTATTAATGTGATATTTCTTTTAAGAAAAAGGTACCATATTTTAAATGTTTTGTTCATTTGCAACTCCAGATGGACAAATCTCTAAAAGATATTTGAAGAAGCACTAATGGCTGGCAAAAGCTCTGTGGGGATCTTAAATTTGGGGCTAAAAGTTATTTTTCTTAACAGAAGACAAATCTCTCTGTTAGTTGTCATTCTGTCAAATTAAAGGAAAGGGGTTTGAAAGACATGGTATACATTGAATTTCTCCCACCCATCTTTGCTTTTTTTCCAAATAAACCTTTAGTTTCATGGTAGCCGTGAATTTCTTTATTGGTTTTATTTTCTACATGAAATGGGCATCCATACTTTCTCTTAAAGCATTTTCTTCAAAAGAGAAATACTCTTTCTGTTCAAAGTATAAGAGAAAAAAAACACGTGTAAAGATTGTTTTACAAGTGATTATTAACGCTTTGATGTTTAAATATTCAAATCAACCCTTGATGAAATTTAAATTGCAGGCAGCCTCCTAATAATACTGTGAAAGTGAAAAAGTTAATTTATATTTAATTGCTATCAAAATCAAGGTCTCTGTAAAGCATATTCCTATCTTATTTTAAATTTATTCAAGAAATATTTAAAATAGCTGGTCTCAGTATGATGTCTTGAAGAGAGAAAATCCTAAATATTGTTAAAAATAAAATTCAATTGAATAAATTTAAAGATCAAATTGGCTTTATTCAGCAATGCATGAATCAGGTTATATTTCTAAGAGGGGCTGAAGCTATATTTAAGCTACATAGTAAGTCTTGGTTGGGTGATGTGGGCCTAGCACAAGTGACTCCATTTTGGGCCTGTTACTTCTTGCTAACAACTATCCCTCTTGATCAGACTCAGCTTAACTGACATCTGTGATCAAAATGTAAGGTATTAGTGCCACTCTCAGCTACTGTTCTGTAGTTCTTACAGCTTTTCTGATCCTTTTTGAGACATTCACAGGTCATGAAAGTTTTTACTGAATCTCCGTAATTTTAACAAGTCATGACATCAAATGCGCAATTGTTTTAGTTGATCATTTTCTTTTTTCCTTCTTTGACATTCCAGTCTTAGGGAGATAATTCACTTGGTGGTTAGCATCTGTGAACATGCATTTAAAGCTTTTGAGAGAACACAACACACCAAGGAGATTACTATGATTTTCATAAGGAGGATAATTCCAGTGTCTGGAGTTCACTCAAGAGCCATCATCCCCAAGACCCAAACCAGTCAAAATTATATAAGTCAAAAAAAAAGATCCTATTGAATGAGTCACTTCTTAAGTAAAGTGGCTTGTTCAGTGATCTTATGCAGCTGAGTTTCAACTTCCTTGGAAGTGTTAATCCAGGTACAGCGGGTAGCAGTGACCACAGTACAGCCAACTCTTTGCTCAGTTAGAAGATAATCAAGGGCTATTCTATTATCCAGAACAACTTTGGCCAGAGGGTCTAAAGAATTCTGCTGAAAGGCTATTGTTTTAGCAGCAGGTTTTGTAATATCTTCAAGAATGAAGGAGAGAATATTGATGATATCTTTATTTGCACTTATTCCTCACCAGGGAAGTAGAATCCTGTCAAAGGAAGCAAATTCTGAATCATGAGCCCATCCTGGTAAGTCCTTTTTTAACTCATTGATATAAATTCAGGGAATCCACTAAGAAGGTATCTTAGATTGTTTATGAGAAATCAGGAGCCAGTCCAATTATCTAAGAGGCACCAACAGTTATGCACCAACCATTTAGGCATTCACAGGCTCTCAGAGAGTGAGAACCACTCCAGATAAAGAATGGCCCAAACCATTCCCACTAACATTGCACTGTTAATGGATTTCAGCATTATAGACAGATCCATTTGTTTGAAAGTTTATCCCCCTTAATAATGGCCTGGGGATATAGATGATGGCATATTTCCAGGCCAATGCCATAGTAAAGAAAAAAAAGTTTCCTATTTTAAGTATGAAGTCTTGATATGGTATCTTAGGAGGAAGTAGTCTATATCTCTGTCAGCTACTTCTCCTCATCAATTTGATTCAGAGGTCTCCAACATCTGCTCGGGATCATATGTCAGTTGGAGACTTTTTCAGCTGTGAGATGCGTATCCAAGGTTCAGTTCTCTGAAATTTGCCCATCATCTAGTCAGTGAGGAGGATCTGATACAGTCTCTTCTAAGGAGATCGGGGCAGTCTTTGTTTGCAGTTCAGTTCACTTGCTCAGTCATGTCCGACTCTGTGAGTTCTCAGTGATTCCAAATCAGAAGAGTGGGAGAAAATTGAAGATGTTAATTTAGAGAGGTGTAACCAGATATTTAAGGAAATTGGAAAGACTCAGGATTTAGTCAAGTTTACATGTATATAACAAAACTTCAAAGACACTTAGCAGGATCAAAATCTGAAATAGACAAAAATACAAACATAAATTTTCTCTTCACAAATATTCCCGCTCCTTTTTTTCTAAGGATAATCACAGTAAAACTAATTTGTTTACATTAGACATGGTTTGATTATTTACATATGTGCAGCAAGAATAGTAATTGACCATATAAATCCTTTTTAAAACTGCTTTGGCAAAACCTTGTAAGCAAGATACCAGGTCATTTTTTTCTAAGGGGCTTTACTGGCTCCATAAAGTCAACTTTAGTTCCTTAAAACTGTCTAGTCATTTTGAGTCTATATGCATGTCTCTCAAATATGACAGTTTAGTTAAAGTCTTGCTTATCTAGCCAGTATTTCCAATTGTGTCCTATTACCAGCAAAACAGATTCTCATCAGACTTATGCAACTAACTATATTGCCATAAAAATAAAATTTAATAAGAGTTTCTGAACTCTGGAGACAGCAGACAGGGAGACAAAATAAATGTTTCAGCTGTGTTTACAAAGGTATGCTTTATGAAATTGATGTATGTCATAGATAGCTTAAGAGAAAATGTTTCTTTAAATCTGGAAAAATAAAACATTAAGGAACATAAGTGTTTCAGACAAAACATCATAAAAATTGTGATCCTCTTCATCAGTTCATCCAGTCCCATATAATTAATACTTATTCTGTGTTAATACAGCTTTTCCATTAGTTCTGAAATTGCTTACCCAGCTCAGTTTTATGATTTTAAAGTTGTCAGAAAACCTATACTTTCCAAAAGACATTTCCTTGAATCTCTTTGAAGATAAAATACTTCTGCAGGAGCACTTATGTCAAAGTAAAACAATAATTGTCTATAAGAAGACTTAAAAATTGTTCATTGTAAGCCATCTGATGAGAGTTCATTAAAAGTGGAAATTGACAAGGGAATTTTATTTTGTGACACATAACCATTTAATATAATACATGGGTTTATGACTAATAATGATATACCTGGACCAACCAGACTCTAGGAATTTCATATAATTTCTGGAAAACTTATAGAATTATACAAATACAAAATAAAAAGACAATATATAACTTTCTACTTGACATGTAATTTAACACATCAAATAAGCCTAGTTTAATATCTCTCTTTTTATAAAGGCAGAGAACAAACCTTTTGAGATGTTCCAAAGGTCATCTGGAAAATTCCAGATTTAGTTAGGGTCAAAAAGACTTCACTTAAAATTAGATTTGGGGAACTTTGTCAGAACATCAAAAGGTTTTAAAACACTCGATCAGATATGATCATAGGTCACTGAAACAATACTTAGTTATCTACTTAAGCATGATAACAATTAAAGACTTCACAGGCAAATACTGAAAGTTAAGTAGTTGTAAGTTTCTTATAAGAATAGACTGATAATCTAAGAAAATTTGTTCTTTTAACAGATGTAAATTATTAAGGTTTATTTTTGCATAAGTGCTCTATGGATGTTAAATCTTTATTTTATATCCCTTATAGTATATTCGGACTTCCCTGATAGCTCAGTTGGTTATTCAGGTGGCACTAGTGGTAAGGAACCCACCTGCCAATGCAGGAGACGTAAGAGATGCGGATTCAATCCCTGGGTCAGGAAGATTCCCTGGAGGAGGGCATGGCAACCCACTCCAGTTTTCTTGCCCGGAGAATACCATGGACAGAGGAACCTGGTGGGTTACAGTCCATGAAGCGAATTAGGACGCATAGTAAATTCAATGGATTTTAGACAACTTGATTATACAAGGTAATATTCTGTCTCTCTCCTCTCAACTTTCTGTTTGATTTGTTATTTATTCTATTTCCCATTCTGAAATAACCAGTTTCATGTCAGAACAAAATTATTTTCTTTTTCCTCAACAAAAACATATCTTCATTTCTCATAACTTCTTTTACAGAAAACACATATCCTACTTTCCCTACATATAGAAATATTTCTCTTTTTATTTCTAGTAGTTTCAATAACATATATTAGACTTTTTAATCTTCGGTGAAAATAAAGAAGTAAGCAATTGTGAAGTGTCTACATTGTCATTCTGTGGCTTGACAAATTTATGAGTACACTTTATAATTTCCAGAAAAATATACTTTATCATAGTAAGTTTTTTAGTGTGACACAAAACATATTTAATAATAGATCCAAGTATATTTTAGTTTCTCTGTGGAATGAAGCCCAAAGTGAATAAACACTAGTCAGTGTTTCCTCTTACTTAGAAATGATCTATATACTTAATGACTATCCATCATTTAATTTATCTTAGCAAAGTTTTACAGTTTCAGGCTACCATAAAGTTTGGGGGAAACTACTTAAATTGTTCACCTAAAACTTTTTATTTTACTTAAATCTATTTAGTTTACTTGTTCTTAATAATTATGTTTAGATTACCACAAAATCTTCATTAGGCAATAGATAGGATCAGTCATCATGATAAGTGATTTTTCCTGCTGGCAGTTTTCATAAGAGATAGCAGGAACTTATTTGATTAGTAAGCTCAGGTAAAATAAAATTTTATATTTAATGCTTATAACTTGAAAGATATGCCTGTTTTAATTAAAACAACAACTTTAAACTGGCTTTTATATCATCAAATAAAAATGTATCAGTCAATCTAAGAAGGAAATAAAGAATTTTATACAAGCCAAATCCAAAGATTATAACCCAAGATGAAAGCTCTGAAAACTGGTCAGCTTGTTAGAAGTCAAGTCACAATTTTCTGAGACAGTGGGGTGTACATTAAATGATATACTATTGATAGTTTACACAATTAGATCTAAGCATACTTGTAGGTTCCATTTTACTAGTTACAAAAGAATTTGCATCTAAGTTGTAATTCTGGTTGATTCTGGGGTAAGTTAAGGCCACCTGGTGAAATGGCTAAAGCTAAGCTTCAAATGACCTTCCCCCTTTTGTTTTTCTTCTGATAAAAATTACCTCCCTGAAGTTTGCACTTTAAATTCATTTCTCAAAGGCACAGTGAAAAAATACAAGTTATAAGCCTGATAATAAATAAAGGAGGCTTGGGGATTGGGAAAAATAAACAGGCAAACCTTGAACTACCCCTGGAGCTGCGTTTCTAGTTTGGCAAAGACTGGTAACGTAAGTGCAGTTGCTCCCAGTACCTCAGAGAACTGGGTTGAAGCCTAAATGGCATCATAGGTTGATTCACCCATAAATCCTTTTACAAGGGCCTTAGAAGTTTTCTTTTCTTTTTTTTCCCCTTTTTTTTCTTTCCCTCTAGTTTTATTTTAACTCAGGGAGAAAGTCTAAAGGATTTTCTATTATGCTGTAAATATCAGCTTCCAACTCCTGGCCAATTCCTCACCGTAAAAGTTACTTTAAAATATTTTAAAATATCTTTTCAGTTTTCAGCCAGGACAAATGGTAAATATTTCTGCAGTATTGAATAACTCCTCGAACTGAGGAGGCGTCCTAAGCAAAGAGGATGAAAAAGGTATGTTTTCTTTCTTTATCAGATACTACAGACCAAGATCCAGAAGAGCTGACTCTAGTAAGAATTCTCATCCTTAGCCAGCTTTTGCTAGTTTTCTCAGGATCCCATCTGCAGGTTCCCAGTGAGATTGAAACAGAGTGTAGATCCAGTATCTACCAGGAATTGGTAAGGTTTTCATTAGTTTCAACTTTGTTTTTTCTTAGCAGTTTAAGGGAGTAACATAGCACTTTACCATCCCCCAAGTCTCATCAACTCTGGGAGGGGTTCATATGGGGGCCCTACTTTAAAGTTAGACCTGGACCATTTGGGTTGATGTTGGAGACTCTGCACAGGGCCTTGGAAGACAATCTCTTTTTCAATACCCACATTAATTACAACTGAGACATTGATTCCTTGGCCAGTGTAAAAATGATGAACCATTAAGAGGGTACCATGAGGAAGGCCTAGGTGTTGTTTTAGATACCTTAGGTGTCTTTAATTTTTTATCAGCCTTTTGCAGTCAACCTTTTGATAAAACTATTTCGGAATCTTAAAGCATTTTGGAAGCTTCTGCATACTAACCAACATAGATATCCCCTACTGTTTAATTCAGATCCTTTCAAGTACATTTTTAAATCAAATACCTTGCTTAAGTGGAACATTCCCCGTAATGGCCACTGCAATTCAGGGATGTCTTTAGTAAGATTTTGCCATTTTTCATAGATATCTACAGCTTCCAGAACCTTGGTTCTTAAACATAAAGAGGTGTGCAGGAAAGCAACCCACTTAACTCTATGGAGGGCTTCCCCAATGGTTCAGTGGGCTAGAATCCACCTGCAGTGCAGAGACACAGGTTTGATCCCTGGGTCAGGGAGATCCTCTGGAGGAGGAAATGGCAACCTACTCCAGTATTCTTCCTGAAAAATCCCATGGACAGAGGAACCTGAGAGTCCATAGGGTCATAAAGAGTCAGACACAGCTGAGCAGAGCACAGTAATCTATGGATTTTAAAGATCTGATCATCTTTGTTTTAGCTAAACTTTTGAGCCTCTCAGAGCCAAACTAATGCTTAAAAGGAGCATGTGGTGGGCTTGGAAACTGTGTGGTATTTTACAATCTAACCTGTTGCATAGAAAGTTTCTTTGAGGTTGACGGGTGACATAGTGTTAATCTTAACCTGTTCCATGACCTAGTTATCCTAACATAAGATGCTTGGGGTTAGGTAGGGAATACTGTGACAGCTTGTGAATGCTTAATATGCCAATCAGTTTTTGTGGCTTTTTGGCTTTGAGGTCCCCATTCTCAGTAGTTTTTACCTCATGTACACATTGGCATATAAGCAGTAACCCCTGAAGTTGTTATTATTGTTGCTGTTTAGTTGTGAAGTCATGACCTACTCTTTGTGAACCCTTGGACTTTAGCCCTTAAGGCTCTCTGTCCTGGATTTATGGGGACATAAGCAAGAACTAGGATTTAGATGTCACTGCAGACTAGCCAGCTGAAGATCTTGTGCACACCTCCAGCCATTCCCAATATAGAACTGAGCGCCCAAGGATAGGGCTGAACCATCAGACTTCAACAAATAGGGACTGTGGACTGGGGGCTCCACATAAATAAGGAACTGTGAGCTGCCACTAATGGTTTCCACAAGGGCCTAGGGACAGAGTCAGGGCCTGGGATTTCTAGGGAGTTGCAGTATAAAGAGCCAATTAGATCAGGGACTCAACACAGAGAGCAGAGCTTAGAACAAAGAGGGATTTACCTACCACCCTAAGAAATGGTAAGAAAGACAGTAAACTTAAAGGATTGCAGGGTACTGCCTGTGTTTCATGTCCCCAAGAGCCATCAGAAGTTTACTTGGAATTCCACCACAGTCAGTAAATCTGTTAAAAAGGCAAAATTCAACTGAGTAAAGATCCAGTTGGCTTTGTTCAATGATTTATGAATTGGGCAGCATCCTATCTAGTAAACAGAAAGGAACTTCAAAGAGCTGTACAAAATAGAAGCCTTTTTTAGACAATAAAGGGTCAAGATAGGAAGAGTGTTGTTTCAGGCAAGTCCTCTCCTTTTGCAGGATGGAGGGGATCTCTTAGGCAGATGACCTCATTAGTGCTGACCAGGTAATTCTAGATGGACTGATTAGAAAGTTACATTACTGGAAGGAGCTGAAACAGCAATTAGATTAGGCATGAGTCTCATTTTGGTGAGGTGGGCTTAGCACAAGTGACTCCATTTTGGACGGTTATTTCTTTTTAACAATATCATATAAATGCATCTATTTTTACATGACAGACACTTTGATTCTATAAAGATGTCTCCTACCTGGATAAAAGCATTCCAGCAAAGTTACAATGGTTTATCATATAAAATGTAGCATAATTTCCACCGATGTCCTTATTGTAAAAGAGAACGTAGTGTCTCATGGCAAAAACCTAGGGACAGTGAAACCTTTGAGAAGAAAGAAATAAAATGGTAGCCTCACCCCTGTGATGGTGAAGTATTTACTTAAGTGTAGTAAGAAAAATTCACATTTTTCCTCAGTTGTTGATTACTTCAACTTGCCTGAGTAATAAGAATTTTTAAGCCATGGGGAGATTTTCTTTTGTTCACTTCCTTCTATTTTTTGTTATAAGTATTTGTGATTGTGAAGAGTACTGGACATTTTTCAATTCATACCTGATATACTTCAATGTGAAAATTCTGAGAATTCATAGTCATTAAAATAAATTGGCATTCAATTTTAAATTTGGTCAGTTTGGGAATTTGTGTATTGAATTTATGTTAAATGAGTTGGAGAGACATATTTTCTAATCCTAGACTCAACTCTGCACAGACTATGATCCAAGGCTGTTTTGCTAGGCTTTCTGAGGAATGGCGAGTAACATAGGGTTTCCCCGTTTGGAAACCATGAAGTTAGATTTGTCAAGTCCTTCCATAATGCTGATGGCAGCCAGCATCCCCTCTCTTTGCACAACATGGAACCTATCTTCCTGGGTTCAAAGCCTGGCTTTATTTCTCACTTTAGCTATGTAATCGGTGCAATTTCATTGTCTTCACTGTGTCCTATAGTCTTTCACTTATGAAATGGAATAATTATTGTACATGCTTCATAAATACCAAGGAGAGAATACTCTGTGTTCATAGAGAGATAAAGATTCTGTAAAGCTTGGCAACTAAGTGTTAGTTAATATTATTATCGTATTTATTTTTAAAATTAAAAACTTCACTGAGAAGTTAATGCTGTATGCTTGACTCCCTTCTGCTTGTATCTATGGACTCATACGTGCTCATTTTTCCAGGTAGTCCTTTTCCTAGGGTCCAAACCTGTTAACTTTCTTCCTTTAAAAACTCACAGCACCCATTGACTTATTCTAGAGTTTCTCAAGTGTATACATCTGTTTACCCTTGAATCTGACTCAGGATGTAGATACTGATGCAGATTTCACTTGGATTTGCCACACCCTTATTTGAACTGGACTGTTTTGCTTTCTTCCAAGCACTTCTATTTTGCCATAAGGTAATGTTAGGGCAAATTTCTTGTTTTATGAGGTCTTCCCTCTTTTACTCCTAGCACTATGAGGTGAGGATAAAGAGGCATGATGAAGTAATGTATTTTTTAACTGTCTTCTTTAGTGTTCAGATACTAATATAAACCTTATATGCTTCCTCAAAGACTCTGAGCTTTTCAATTTCTCCTTTTATTTATTTATTTATTTTTGGTGCACTACTCATATTGGGGCAACACTCTTCTCTTGATCTTTGATAAAAAACTTCAAAGCATGACATAGGTCCCGATTTGTTAGCCACAAATGGGCTGGAGATGCAACTCAGGTGTTTAGGAAATATATCTTGACCAGTGAAAAGTGAAAGAAACAAGGATGCTGAACAGGTACATTTCTCTCCCTTAGTTTATTTCATAATAGTCTGAGTGGAAGTTCTTCCCTGCATCCTTTCTGTGGAAGACCCACATGCTGACCAAACAAGCCTGCTGCAAGATCCTCTCTGCCTTTTGTGGCTTATCGTGAAGCCATGGCTGGAACAGTGACATATGACATCTCATAGTTTTGCGTATTCCCTTGTTACTCTTTGATTTCTCTTTTCTTACCTTCATCTCCCTGGGCTGGTACCTCCCAAACATACTGTTTTTTTTTTTTTTTTTCTTTTAATCTTTATCTCTGTCTGCTAAAGGAGTCATGTAAGAGTCTACTGATGGCTTTCAACAGGAAATTTTACTTTTATTACAGAGAAGCTTAGCATTGGAATTCTTTCCACTTAACTTGAGGGTGGGTGCACAATGCTCAGTTCTTAGATTCTATCCATATCAACTGGCAAGAGAATTGTTTTCTTTCAACTTAAGTTTTATATGACCTTCATTCTATATGACCCCATTACCCCTTCATGCCTCATTTGAATAATGGTCCAAATTTTGATTTTCCTAGGTATGGCATTGCCCCATGTGGGTAGAGACAGTAAGAATTCCTCATTGTAGATACACAGTTACTTCCCCGGGAGCTTCATCTGTCGTCTGCTACACTTAAACCAGTTGTTTAAGGGTGCTTAAGTCAGCAGTTGTTTCTAGTCACTCTGTAGTTCCTAAACAGCTCCCAATCATCTGTTAGGCACTAGTTAGATCTGCAGATCATCCACTTACTTTTCCTATGACTCTATTCCATATTCAATACTCCAAACCTCACTGTTCAGACTGGTGAAAATGAGAATTATACATAAGTGTGTTATTTGCTCAGTTGTATCTGACTCTGCAATGCTATGGACTGTAGCCCACCAGGCTCCTCTGAATTCTCCAGGCAAGAATACTGGAGTGGGTAGCCAATCCCTTCTTCAGGGGGTCTTCCTGACCCAAGGATCAAACCTGAGTCTTCTGCTTTGCAGGCAAATTCTCTACCATTTGAGCCACCAAGGATAAATTCTATATAAATAACTGATTTATTAAGTCTGCACACTCAATCTATTATTCTGTCTATAGAATACTACACACATAACTTATCTCTGCACAATGATCATATTTATTTTCCATTAAAAACAGAGACAACCATATGGGTTAAGAGTTTATTTTTTCTTCTCAGATTTTGATATAAC